TCTCTGGTCTTTTCTTGGTTCCAACTTTGGCTCTGCACTCTCTCTTGCAATGACCATCAGGGTCGCTCCGAAGTGCCCCCTCCCCCCAAAAAGATAGATCAGATAGAGACCAATAAGAAAACCTTAGAACAGACAGGAAAAAGTAAACCTTTTCATTATTCAGGAGTTCTCCTCGTTGCTAAACCTCAGGAAAAGCTTGGATGACACCCCCAAACAGCAGTCAACAGAAATAGAAAAGGATGTTTGCTCCTCATGGAGAGAGGGCTCTTTGCTAACACAGAGGGTGACAATGCCAACAGCAGGGCTCTGCTGTGACTGAGAGTTCCACAGCCATGGGAAAGCAACACGCAAAGTTTTGGTTCTACTAAGAGTGTTCGAATCTCGCCTTTTTTGTTTCTTACCTGATCTACTGGGTCTCTAAATTGGACCCTAGCTTAATGTGTGAGAGGAACATCTGAATCCAACTGGAGCTGAAGAACATTCAAGTTGTTGCCCAAAAGTTGCAAAAGTAACAACTCTCATTTTTATATAAATGTGTCAATATTGTCCATAATAGACACAAAAAAGGGATTAATAGAATTTATAAGGTGATAATTAGTGATGTTTTCATCCTTTTATCTTTTTTTCCATCTGCATAAGGAAAAACTTGAGTCCACATTTTATTGTAACAATTCAACAATACTAGAAAATTTTCAAAATATGAAACTTTCACTAAAAAGAGAATTACAAGCAGGTTCCCAAATAAATATTGGCTCTAATCAAAGCACCCAACTCTAGATATTCAATTATTGGGACTAGAAGTTTTTTTTTTTCCAAATTGTGGTGTGAAAATATTACAAAAATTACTTGGTAGTAAACAAGAGGTAAGCGGTACTTATATACCTGTATTCATACTTTAAGGAATGTATAAAAATGGATAAAGATTGTGATGGGTCATGGATTTGGGGCAGTGGTTAAAATGTTGGTTAGAATACCACCAATCCAGATGAATCTCTGTGTTCAAGTCTTTACACTGCTTCTGAAACAGCTTCTTATTACTGTTTACTCTGGGAGGGACCAGGTGACTGCTCAGGTAGTTGGGTCACTGCTGCCCACGTGGGAAATCCTGAATGAGCTTCTTATTCCTGTCTTTAGCCTGACACAACCCTGGTTGTCCCTGAATTAGGGGAGTTGATAGTAGGTAGACAATCTCTCTCTTCTCTTTTATTCTCCACTCCTCTACTTTTTAATACATTAAAAAAAGAAGTAGAAAAGATAGTTCTGGTAAGTTAGAAATAATTCCAAATATTTGAGTAGATGACTAAATGGTAAGATGCTTGCAAATTTTATTTGATTCCTAGTCTAATTCAGAACATTTCCAAATACTAAACATAATATTTTGACATCTAGAAATAATTTTAATTAATTTGGAAAAATAGTACCAATAAAAATTGCCCGCAATGGTAGCATCAACAACTCATTACAGCATAAGAAATATGAAACAGAAAATTTACAAAATGTATATGAAAAAAGATTCACAATACACAAAGAGTTATTACAAATCAATAAGGCAAAGATCATTGCACTAGAATATAACAGGAAATTCACAAAAGTACACTTTACCCACTAATACAAAAAAGTCTATCCTATTATCACTTTTAATTATTAATTTATCAACTAAAGGAATTGGTGACATTGTTAGCAAAGTACAGAGACAAATGCCTTTTAGCCATTACAGATAAAGTTGTTAATTGCTTCCCTTTATGGAGCATATTTGGAAGTATTCATCAACAGCTTTTCAAAAACATATTTTTTTACTTAATTCCAAGAGTTTATCCTAAGGATATAGTCACAAGTACACACAATAATACTGATTAAATGATATACAAAATAGCTCCATAATAAAAGTAAATAGGCAGTTGGTTAACGAAATATTGATGCCAATTGATTAGAACACTTTGTGGAAGAATCTTTCACATTTAATGATATGGAAAGTAGTCACAAATATTTCTAAATTAATAAAGTGGAAGGTGAGGTGTCATCTACAATAAGAGTGAGTAGGGTTAAAATCTTTAGAATCCCTTAAAAGATTAGTGAATAATTTTCTCTGGGTGAAGCAATTATGAAAATTTTTATATGTTTGTTTCTGCTTTTAATCTTTTAAAATATTTTACTTTTTTCATAAAAAAGCTAAGGGCGTAATATAAGAACTGCTTGGTATTTTGTAAAAAAATATCTGAAAGTGTTCTATATCATCTGAGTTGAAAAAAGTTCTTTCTGTAAAGTTCAGTATATGAGACGATTTCACTTTGCTGTCAATTCTAGTACCTTTCCCTTTAGTGGCAGCAGTATAGAGGGGTAGAGGCAGGAGTCTTCAGGGATCAAGGGCTCAGTGGATGGAGAAAAGAAAGCAAAGGGTCACCTTGCTGACATGGGAGTCTCAGCACACACAGTCTTCTTAACTCTATGTGGAAAACATTGAGGTTAGGCACCAGCCAAGCACTTGCTTTTAAGTTGCAACTTCAGAAGAGGTTCTGAGAAGAAAAATGACCAAGTGAAGCCTTTTGTGGTCTCACATCTAGGAAGTCCTTGATACTGCAGCCAGGGTCCCCAACACCTGATGATACTGGCTCATCTCTGTCTCTAAAGCCCGTATCTCCAGGGCCAAAGCCACAGATGTGGGAAAGTGGTGAGTAGAGAGACTACAAGCCTCACTATCAGTGCCAGCGAGTTGGGACTTTCAGACTTAGTACTGTTTGGGTTCTTGGAATAGTCTGGGTTCGCTAACTCTTATTGGTTTATTATTGTTATTATTATGAACCATATCTGCTTAGAGTCCATGTATTTCTTGGAAGAATAGCTTAGCTGTCTTGTTAACACCTGTGAAACAAAGCTTCCTATAACTGACATGAAATCTGACTTCTTATCTTTCCCTGGATCTGTTATCCTTGTGATTTCCATTTTTGTCAGCCAAACAAATTTATAAAAAATTCCTAAAGCATCATATTTTAAAATCTTTAAATATACAATACTAATATTATTATACTGGGTAAGATGGTATTTAATGTACATGTGCTGTATTTATAAAATTTGCATGTTAAAAATTAACTTGATAAAAATAAAAACCTTATTGTTGTAATTATCATCTCTAAATTATTTTACCGTATTGAATAAAAAGGCTGATGTTCCAAAATCCTTACAAAGTGAATACATGGGAAATGTATAATGCTCATTTTCTCTCATTTCATTATCTAGTTAAGTCATGATTTCCTCACAAGGCCCAGTCAGAGCAGATATCTCATCATTTCTTTCCAAACATAGGAAACGATTACCGTTTGGCAAACAATCTTTAAGTAAGAGACTACATTCTAATTATTTTTTTTCTGAAACTACAGTTCTTGGGAGAGCTGTATATATCATAATGTGTTGGAAGAACAGAGAAAAGGAGGAAGGGAGATTCTGAAAGGGTGAAGAAAGGAAAGGAGAGCGATTTAAGGCAGAGAGAAGGCGATGCAGTTTTGGAGATATATTTGGATTTTGAAAGGCAATTCTAAGTCCAATAGTTGAGTGAACCTTTAACCAGAGGCAGCCAGGTGGTAGATGGCAATGATATAGAATGTGGCTCATCAGATAAGCAAGAAACATAGATAGGGAGTTTTGAGAAACTTAAGCTTAATTGACTTTGTAGTTTTGCCTAGTATCATACCACACTGAGCAATAACGCTTAAAATGTCCATCATCATCATCATTACTTTTTGTGTATCAGGTACAGGCACTTGCTAATAGAAAGGTGAACATATACATAATGTATTCATTTAATTCTTCCCAATCCCACTGAGTAGATATCACTTTACGACAGATGAGTAAACTGAGTCATGGGTCCAAATCAAAGACCTTTAGGTGATATAGTCATAACAGAATATGGAACTTGAACTCCCTGATCCGGAAATCCTGCTAGTAACCAGCTACAGAGAGGAAGAATTTCTAACAGCTTTTGCAGTGGGGTTTATGGTCATGGTGTAATAGCTTCTGTCCACAAAGAGTGGGCACTGGGGTCAAGTCATGAAAGTGTACTAATGGATGAAACGCTCATCGTGTAGTCAGCTCTGATCATTTTAGCAATTTAAAATAGCAGTAATGATTGATGTCATAAAACCACAACATGTTTCTAGAAAGGAAAAGCCAACTAAATTGCTTTTTAAATCATTTCATTGCATGGGCACTTGGCACACTATCACTGCTTCTGGCTGTTGTTTTTTTTTTTTTTAATGCAACTATTTCTTTGCATGGATTTCTTAACTTCATGATCTTCTGTGTCTTACATATTATTTTTGGATTCGTAGCTTGGTAGTTGTTTAATCTTAACAGATTTTAGAAGTGAGGTATTATTTTAATGTGTGCATGCTTTTACGTTGACCCCACTTACTGAAGTGATGTGAAATAGCTCAGACATGTCCGTGTGACCCATTTTTGTACCTTTTGATATTTTATATAATCTCCAATCAGTTGGACAGATAATAACTGAAGCCTTGGCGCTGGGTTATCATTGCTACTCTGATGCCGAGTCTGGTGTGAGCAGTGCAGATGAGCCGGGGAAGCCCTCGAGGAAGCTGAAGATTGACACAGGTGGAGGTAAGGGCTCATCATTACCTCGCACAGACCTTCAAAAATCTCCTGTAAAAGACAGTCCATTTTCCTCTTTCATGTTCCTGTCCTTTGCCACATTCGTTTTCTTTGTAACTAATGAATGTGATGGCAGGTCCTGGCTGAGGGGCCTGAAGGGGAGCTTTGAAACTAACATCAGATATGATTGTTATTATACTTTTTTTTAATACATTGGTACCTAAGATAAAAAAGAAAATAAGGATTGGTGGTTATAAAATACTTGTAGGGATTTTTCAAATCAGGTGGATTTCTTTCTCTACCTCCCAGTTAGTTGGCCAGCTGAATTGCCTTTACCAGCTCAACTGGAAACAAGGAGAGTTCACAACGATTCATCTGAACTTATTTTTTTTAATTAGGAAAGAATTCATTGCCATCAGTATATGACCCGGCTCTTGGTGACGAGTATTCCATCTGTAGAAGTGCCAATTAGAGAGATTCAACAGACCGTGACTCATACATATGTGGTCCAACTTTCTATGTCCTTGAAATCAGGCATTCCCATATTTAGTTAATTCCTTTCTAAAATTGTTCTGATTTGAATACATCTCTGTATAAAGTTACCAGGGGTATTCATTTTATTTGTCGCATACAATATTCCTCCCATCTCCAATTTTAATCATAGCACTAATTTGAGATTCTACACTACTTTTAAGCAAACATCTTAGCCAATCATTTTGGAGATGTTGGCAGAATACAAAAGACATTGGGGTTAAAGTAAAAGGACTTTATTATAGCGAATAGCAGTAGCCAGAGTGATTGCATAGAGGCTGGTCCTAGAGTGTGGGTTCTTCCTGGGCAACATGAAGGGGTGATTTTCATCTGGGAAAGGGGCTGAATTGCAGGACAGGCATCCTGAGGTTAGAGAAGATAAAGGTTTACAGTTGGCACTCAAATTCCTTGCCCCAATTCATCCTGCAATGCAGCCATTGTAGTTACTAATGATCAAATCTAACTTTCGTAAGAAGATCTGATTAACCATGAACAGTGGAAGGGAAATGAGATTTGTTTGTTTTCTCTATACAAGGTATTATGCTAAGCATTTTATATAAACTATATCATTTATTGTCCCAGGAATTCTGTAAGGCCAGCATGACTGTTCTCATTTTACAGATAAGGAAATGAAGGCTTAGAAGTGTGTTGTTTCATAAATTCACACATCTAGTAAGTGGCAGGCCTGGCATTCTCACCCACAGCTGTCTCACTCACAGGTACATACTCATTCCACTAAATCAAATTACTCTGGTTTTGAATGTTGCTCACTCTTGTATATTAAATATTTTTCCAAAAGCCCATGTGGCTGCCATCAATAGCAGATGTCATGCTTTTGTTCTGATTATTTTTAGAAAGGTTTCAGTTAGTTTCTCCCTTGCTTCAACAATGCCATGTTGGACTCTTCCAAAGTGTGTGTGTGTGTGTGTGTGTGTGTGTGTGTGTGTGTGTGTGTGTGTGTGTGTTTATATAATATCTCAGGTGGATGCCATTAACATTTCTCTGCTAGAATTTAGGTATAGTATATTAATAATTAGTGGTTAGGCAATTCTATTCCCATGTTTTTCTGAAACTTCTTTCATCCATGTATTTAGAGGCCAGCACAGAAACACAGGGGACTTTTAAAACTGACTTTTTAATATAATTTCATGCAGACATTGAGATAGCAAGATACACTGCCGTAGAAACTTGACATAGGTTGTTTTTCATTGTTTTCATTTAATTCTGTTTTAAATCCAGCAATAATCTGTAAAGGAATAGAATGGAATATATTCTCTCAGGTGAATTGCCTACATGCTCTCTGAGTAAACACTTGTTAGCCATCTCCCTTTGGAACTTTTAGATACAATTTAGGAAAAAAATTGCTATGATACACTGAGGAACACCTATAAAACTCAATCTCAGTCCCATTGATAGAGCTGAAATTTCTATTTTACTCCTTTGAAAGAAGACATCAAAAGTCACTTTCCAGATATATTTTTAAAGGAACTGTAACCTCAGCAATTATTGCCTTACTTCAAAATAGTTTATCACTGTAGCTGGTAGGAGACTGAGGCAGCACGAGCTCTAGCCATGTTTTGTGTTAGGAGAGGTAGTGGGCAGTTCTGAACAGGGCGTGAGGAGAGCAAAAATGATCAGGGTTTCAGGTAGAGATTGTTGGTTATGGTGCTAGTAAGATAGTTAGCCGTAAAAATCAAGCATGTGAAAATGTCAGAAAGATGCACCGAACTAGTTTATATGTGCATTTATTTATATGTTTATTCATGTATATGGACATGCAGGAGACTGGTGCTCCTGCGTGGTAATAACTTATTTTATTGCACACAGTCCACTGTCTTTCAGCAGATGGAAAATTTAAATGCATAGGTATTAGACAGGACTTGCCTCTAATTATTTGGTATGGGTTGTTCAAAGGCATACATCTTTATTAAATAGCGAGAACTTATTTGAAGATTTAAAACATATATTGATTCTATACTTATTGAATAATAACGCAGCCAAATTTGTTGAGGAATTATAGATCAGATTTTGAGAAATTGCTTCAACAAGGTAATTAATGTTGCAAATTGTCTCAGATAATAAAGTCTTGTCTTGTCCTGGTCCCCTTTTGCCAAAGGCATATCAGTTTCCTTATCTAAATAGAAGGCATCCTGATCCGTAACACAAATTGGTGTCTTTGCTAAATATCTTTGAGCTACAAAGTTTTTGATGACTAAATCATGATGTAGTAGCTTTAAAATATGGAGTGAAATATGACATAATGGTGAGTTCACAATAAGTATTGCTGAATGACCACGTGAGAGACAGAAAGAAATATTACAGTGTTGGAAGCAAATATTATGGTGCTGTTGACTTCTGAAAGTTGAAACACTATTTTTCTTTTTGTGTAATTTTCCTAAAATTATTTGAAATAAAAGTAGAAAGTTTTTGCTTTTATGTGAGAGGAAAAAGGTAGGCAGCAAGATTTAGTTTTCATTTTATGAGTTGGGAAAATTAAACTTTTTCTTTGCTTATTTTCAACAGTTTGATGTCCAGTTTTAATTAGAGTGTTGAATAAATTTGCAAGGGCTCAGTTTCATAATGAAAAGCCATTATTCAGTCACAATGCATTATATAACTGATGACATGATCTAAAACAGGCAAACTTTTTTTTTTAGGATTTATTTATTTTTATTGGAAAGGTGGATATACAGAGGAGGAGAGACAGAAAGATCTTTCGTCAGATGGTTCACTCCCCAAGTGGCCTCAAAGGTTGGAGCTGAGTCAATCCGAAGCCAGGAGCCAGGAGCTCTTCTGGGTCTCCCACATAGTCTTTGGACGATCCTCAACAGCTTTCCCAGGCCACAAGCAGGGAGCTTGATGGGAAGCTGGACCACTGGTATTAGAACCGGCACCCATATGGGATCCCAGGCGCATTCAAGGCAAGAACTTTAACCACTAGGCTATTGCACCGGGCCCACAGGCAAACTTTTTATGTGTAATTTTCCATTTCCCTTGACACCACATGCAAAATCTTTGTCAGTAAGTAACATATAAGACTAGAAAGTATCTCCGTTGTTTATTTTGACTAAAACAGCCTTGTTTTCTTATCTCACTTTTATAGCACAAAAGAGGAATTTAGTGGTGGAGGAAACGCTAGAACTTAGTTCAAACAAGGAGACAAAGCAAGCTGCACAAGAAACTGACGTGTTGCTGAAGAAAGAAGCAAAGGCAGAAGATGAAGCCACCCAGTGCAGAGATGCCGACACGAAGGAGGGAGAAGGGGCCGCAGCAGCCACAGGAAGCACAGGGATCACCCAGGTTCCCCTCGGGCAGAGGAAGGGCACAGCAGAGCTTCCAGCAGCGGAAAGAATCCCAGAGGAAAGAGAGATGCTTGTAGGTACAGGCAGTGCGACAGGGCCAGAAGCAGACAGTCTTGGCCTCCCTAGAAAAGCAGCAGCAGGAAGTTCGGAGGCTCTGAGTGCAGCAGAGGTTCCTGAAATGCAGGCCTTGGTGGAAACAGCGCCAGAGCCAGTGGAGCCAGTGCCTGCAGGAGAAGCAAGTGCGCTGTGGGCAGGACTTGCAAATAAGGCCGAAGCGCCGAGCTCAGAGGATTTTCAGGAGGGGGCAGTGGAGAGAGAGTCAGGGAGACTCTCCTCTTGGGAGGAAGAGGCTGAGACACCAGCAGCTGTGAGTGAAGCCCCTTCCCCAAAGCCAGATGTAGGAGAAAGCCAGGAGGAAGCACTCAAAGACCTAGAGAACATGGGGCTGGTGAGAGACGCAGCCTCGGAGACAGGGAGTGGCTCCAATGAGGCGGTGGCTGGGCGGGAGGAACAGGCTGGAGAGAGCGAAGGGCTGATGCGGGCAGAAACACCCGTGGGCACGTCCAGAGGAGAGGCAGAGGCAAGCTGTGGGGGCATCTCGGAGGGCATTTCCGAAGCACTGAGGAAGCAAGAACAGGTTGTGAAGGAGGTGGAGTCAGATAGGGAAGAGGACAGGAAAGACACCTTGTGCCTTGACACATTGGAAGTAGCAGGAGAGATGGGGGGAGCTGAGGGGCCCAGCCCAGCTCCAGGAGGACCTGAAGATGAGGGAGCAGAAGGGAAGAAAATAAATGCACAGGAGGATGAAAATGCTCCAGAAGGCGAGCACACCTCCAAAGGTGAGGTGAGGAAAACAGTGCAGGAAGTAAAATCCCAGCAGGTGACAGGAGCTCTTCAAAGCGGAGCAGAGTCGGATGCTGAGCAGGTGGCTAAATTGCCCAAGGGGGCAGAAGTGGAGGCGGCTTGTGAGGCAGCCCCAGGATTGCAGGAGTCCCTGGAGGACGTAACAGTTCCGAATAAAGAAAGATCAGAGGGAGAACTGAGCGAGGCACCAGACACTGTGCCCAGGAAAGTAGCCGATCTGCAAGACCCGCTCTCCACTGGAGGAGTGGGCGCGTCAGGAGCACTGGAGAGGGAGGCCGAAGGAAGGGCACAGGCTTCTGTAGGGGCTGTCCAGGCCTCAGGGGAGGCCAAGGAGGCTGCAGCCGAAGACAAGGACTGCCTTGCAGGGCAGGGGAAGGATAAAGACACGCCTCTAATGGGACAAAACAGAGGAACATTTGTGGCCCAGGAAGATGACCCAGAAAGAGAGCCCAGGATAGCTGGCAAGTTGAGCAAAGCAGCGGGTGTTGAGGACCCAGAAGAGGAGGCTAAGGAACTCCCTCGGGGGACAGAGGAAATGAAAGCAGGGACCCCGTTGGGTTTGGCTGAGGCCTGTCAAAGCCCGCCAGGAGGATCTGCGCAAACTCAGAAGAGGGAGCTGTGGGAAGACCCGCAGGGGCCCGAGGTGAAAACTGCACCAAACACAGCCGCCTCCGAACACTATGTTGCTGGGGAGAAAACCTGGCCCAATGGGGAAGAGTTCCTGGGAAAAACAACAGCTGCAGAGACGGAAGCAGTGGCGATGACAGCGGCACAGGGGTCTGAGGCGGCTCTGAGACAGGACACAGGAGACAGGATGCATGACGAGATATTCCCGAAGTCACCGCCTGCGAAACTGTCAGAGTCAGGAGCCGAGAACCTGCTGCCAGTGGCAACACCTCCTGCGGGGCTCAGTGTCCCTGGAGCCCCAGAGAAGCAAGAGCAGGTGGTGCAGCAGAACCGTGACCCTGCAGAAACTATCAGCGTGAAGACCTAGCTGACTTCCTGGAAGGCGGTGAGTGGCAGGAGGTGGATTTAAGCCTGGGCCTTACCAGAATAGAAACTCTGTTGAGACTGACTTGGTCTTTCAGGAGCGTGCACACGCCTCCGCCCAGGCCCGCTGTCTTGACTTGGTCTCCGGCCTGCTGGAGAGGAGTTGGGGAAGATGGAGGAGGGCCAAGGTGCATAGAGACACTCCTCTGTTCCCACTGAGGCTAGAGTTTGCTACTCTGTCTTGCAAGCACAGCTCCCCGAATACTGGGATGTGTGTCTGCCACACAGGACCCCACAGGCAAAATGTGTGCTAAGAGGAAGCCCAAAGGACAGACCAGAGACGTGAAGTGTCCAATTATGTACTAAAATTCATTTCCTTTTTAGTGTTTAAGGAATGATGCAAAGTAATCTGAGATCATATGTCCTTAAATGGACTCCATGACTTCCTTCATGCAGCTTTAGGTATCCTATATATTTTGCATATTCAAAATATGATACATTTTTAATATATCATACTTAACTACTGGGAGGGTGTATAGGTTGATTTTTCCTTGCTGCCATCACATTTTTAGTACCCAGATTCTAGATTTTGAGTCATTATATCTGTGATATCACTAACATTTTTATTATTTTTCAGAAAATGTGCAAGATGTCTTCTGGAGGCATGAAAAATTCACTGAAATATCTACGCGGGATATCAGATGTCATTTAAAAATGTTTTCATTACTGTGTTTGTGGTATTTCCAATCTCTCAGCTCCAGTCAGTAGATCAGAAAGTAGCTTAGAGTAACAGCTCGTTCACATCCACACGAAACTCTGTAGGAAGAGTGCTTTCCATGGCAGAACTAACTACAAATCTCTTCCATGTTCTACAGAGCCAAACCAAAAGGGTGTTTTTAAAATGAATTGTACTGACTTTCGCTGAAAGGCCTAGTCTTGATATTCAATATCCAATAATCCCTTTTCACTTTACACCCAATTTCATAAGGTAGAGTTTATTTAAATTCTTGTGGTGACTGGGGCTGGTGTTGTAGGACAATACTGTCTGCAACTCAAGTGGGAGCACCTGTTTCAGCACCTGCTCAGCTGAGGCTACCTTCCTGCTGAGGCACCTAGGAAAGCAGCCAGAGATGCCCAGAGCTCCCGGGCCCCTGCACCTCACTTGGGAGATCTGGATGAAGTTCAGGGCTCCTGGCTTCAACCTGGTTCAGCCTTGATCTCATTGGGCTCCTTCTCTGTCACTTCCTGTCACTCTGCCATCTGAATAAAGACTATCAGATCTTAAAAACAAACCAACCAACCAAACGCTACACTGTCATTGGGGACTATAATGAGTTAGTCTTTGAAAAGGAGCTCTCAACGCCCTTCCAAACATACTCAAGACTAAAGATTGATTCACACCTCTAAAGGACACATTCAATCTCTCTCTCACACTCTCTCTACTCTTTCTCTCTCTCCTCTCATGAATTCTTTTCTGTTTATGCTTGAGGGGGCAATTTAAAGTGAAAATATTATTCTAAAATGCTCTTCATTTGTGTGTGTGTGTGTGTACGTGCACGCTTCTGTAATTCTGCTTTCCAAGGTAAAGTCATAGCTTGCACCTTTTTTTTTTTTTAAATCTCTGGGACCTTATTTATAGGAGTATTCAAATTTAAAGAAAGCAGTAAATGATTCAGCTCTGTGGACTGTAGGATAATAGTTACAGCAGGTAAACATAGTGCGTGAGCATCCGTTCCCCACTCTGCTCTTTAGCTGATACCCTTTAATGGAAGGGAAGCTTGTGTTAGATTAGGGTGCTGCTGACCTTCCCAACTTCTGTTATTTCAAACCTATGAACTGAACCTGCTGTCTGTTACAAATCAGCAGCCGTGTTGCCTTCCCAGTTACCCTCTGATATTATTTTTCACCCGGCTTCTGAGAGGTTTTATTTTCCATGAAGATATCTAGATTACAGTGCCCCAAAGGGTATCTTTTCTCTGTTAGGAAATGGAGGAGATTGTCCTAAAACAAAGATTGCTTGGCCAAATTCCACATTTTATTTTGCACAGAGGACTTTCAGAAATGAGTCAATCCATTGGCTGATCTTAGAGATCATTGTGGTTTTAGATAGGACTGTGAGTTGTTAGGTACCACCCCTGCCCCGGCCATTGCATTTGATTTAATTATGTAACCATTGGGGAGAACTGCAAGCCGTGCTGACTGCCCTAACATCTATGTCTGTAGGAATCAGGAGCATTATCATTATAGGTCTTCTCCATTTTAATGAATACTGGAGCCATTTAATGATCAAAGATGTACTGGACTAACAAATAGACGGATATTGGACGGGTACCCTAATTAGAAGCATCAGCATCATACTTGGCCCTGTCCTCTTTTTTTTTTTCTGAGTAATTACTTTTATTCAAGATAATTATAATTTGTCTCAGTTACATAAGGAAATCATCTTGCAGGACTCTGCTGAGATCTCAATAGGAATTTTAAAAAATATTAATATTCAGTAATTGTTTACTTCATTTGGTTAATATTTAATATATTTTACTATGTGTATGGCACTATTACTAGAAATACATTAAGCAGAAAGATCATACTTACTTTCAAAATGCAAAGCTGAACAGTTATTTTTGTCTTACAAAAGAGTAATACAGACATTTTGGGGGTTATTGTGAGTGATTTTAAAATGTATAATCTGATTTTTTTACTTTCTTTTTTTTTATTGTTAATCACATTGTATTATGTGATACAGTTTTATAGGCACTGGGATTCCCCCTACCCCTCCCACAACCCTACCCCCATGGTGGATTCCTCCACCTTGCTGCATATTCAGAGTTGAAGTTCAATTGGGATTCATTCATTGCATGCATATACCTAGCATAGAGTTCAGCATCTTATTGTCCAGATAAGTTCAGCGGTTTCTACGGGAGACCTTCTCTGGTCTGAAGGTAGAGCTAACAGAGTAAAGTCCCTGTCGGTTAAAAGCCCCTACAAAACTCAGCAACAATTTACAATGTTATGAAATTGATTGACATAGTATTGAGTAAACAATATGTTAAAAGTAATGCAAGTTCAATTTTTCACAACACATGGATTGAGACAGTATCAATGACAGATTCAAAAACAAATAAACCAACAAACAAGTAAAATTTACTTATCAGTAGTAAATGAACAGCTGTGTGGGACCTGGTGATTGGTGCTTTAACAAGTATTCCAGACAGTCCTGATGTGCTCTGAAGTCCAGCAATTGCTATCATTGACTACTGAGTGTGCTGGAGTTTAGTTTCCACTGGAAAAGCAGGTTACAAAAGCATTGCAAACTTGGTCTTTCTGTTTATGTCAATCTTCTCTCTCTCTCTCTCTCTCTCTCTCTCTTATTCTCTCTTTTCCTTTCTGTCTTCTCTGGCAAGTGGTAGTCAACATGACAGTGGTGGGGAATATCACTGTAGTGTAGCAACTAAAACCCTGCTTGCAGCACAGGCATCCCTTAAACCTGATGGCTCAAGTCTAAGCTGCTCTGCTTCTGACTCAGCTCTGCACTGATGTGTCTGGAAGAGCAGGAGGGCTTGATCCAACAGCTCAGACCCACGTCAGAGACCTGGAGGAAGCTCCTGACTCCTGTCTTCAGACCAGTTCATCTCCTGCCATTTGGGAAGTGAATCAGTGCATGGAAGATCTCTAGGAAAACAAGTAGTGAACTTACTCTTGAACTCATTTTATTGCTTTCTGAAATATTTTATAGTACTTTATTTCCATCCCCATTGAAGGATTAAAGTGCTGCTCACTACACATCATAGTCTCAATCATGCATCTTAGTTTTACCAGGAGAATTCATCTACATTATAAATGATTTCACATATTACTGAGATACATTGCAGTGGAACTCTATAGTACTTGTTCCATGATTTCAACCTCAGTGGTACAAAGCACTTTGAAAACATGGTACCTTGTGGGAAAGACTTTAAATGTGTTAACCCCACTGACAAATGAGTTTTGTACAAGTACTAAATGGAAATTGAATTGAATTATTTTTATATTTAGCACATTTCATCAAAACATTCTGTAATGTAATTCTGCAGTCTGCATGTGGGTTTAACTGTGAAATTCTGTGTTGTGATGTTTTGATTAAGTAAATTCTTTTTCTGCAAATACCATATTGATAAAATTATTTCTGTGTTCAACTGACTGGTTTTTTGTTAGCTTCTTAACTATTAAAAACATAAATAAATCACATTTATAGGTTTGGCATGTGGATGGTTCTTTGTAAATAAGATTAGGTTTTTTATATCTTTTCTTTTGTTCTTCCTTTTAATATAAAATTTGAACTCCATGGAAAAAGGCAGAGAAAATTAGTTTCAATGGACCATATTTTTGAGTATTTGTGTTTATATTGACTATATGCATTCATAGAAATCATTCAGCAACAAGAGTAATGGCAGGGAGAAAAACTTATCACAGTTTTGTAGATAATTTCAGAAATAAATTTAAGTGGCCTGTGCAATCATGCTCAATTTCATGGCTCCTGACTTTTAACTGGCCTTAAAAATAATGTACAAAATAATAAATAGAGACAAAAATTAAATTCTCATTCATGTATTAGTTATTGACAAGATAGTTACATTTCCAGCCAGTGTCAACCGAGGTCCAAAGTAGATCATTTAAACAATCCAAGGGAAACAGAAACAGCTGAAGGAAATGGGGCAGAATTGGACTTTTTGCTTGCATGTTTGAGTTAAGCCTTTTCTTTGACATTATGAAGTCTTATGTTGTAAAATAAAAATAGAGTTGATTTCCTTAACTTTTCTAAGATCATTAATTTCTCCACAATTATTACCCTTGGAAAATGATTATTTGAGAAAAGAACTACTTAAGGAAGATTCATCTAGTAGATGAAATATTCCTGCAAGCTCAAGGACAGTCAAGAAAGGACTGCTTCTGACCTTCAGTAATATTTCCTCCAAGGCTTCTGGACTACTTGATCGTGTCAGTAAAAAAAAAAAACAAAACAAAACA